AATCAATATGCAAACATTTGCTCAGAATCCATCAGTTGCTGAGCCTTCTGTGAGGTGCCATGGAGGGAAGTAGAGATGAAGAGGATGTGGGGCTATCAGAGTTCAGTCACCAGCACCGCCTGGACTGTGGTAAAGGGCGTCCCCAAAGCTTACACTGTTGCAAAAGATCCCTCCATCATTCACAGATTTGCGGGCAGGAGGGCAATAAGGTCATATTTTCTTCAGCTCATGGCTTTCTCTCCCAAAGCCACGGAATACTTGTTCGGGTCACTCCAACATATCTCCAAAGACCTGTTTTGTCCTTCCCTGCAACCTAAGCCCACACTGCCTAGAGGCGTCAGTTTTCTCATTTCTAAAATGGAGTTGATAATAATAATAGCTGCCATGCCCTAGGATGCTAACTATGCACATAAATTATTTCTAACTTCTAAACAGAGACTTTTATGTTTCACTGATGAAGAAACAGAGACTTAGAGAGTTAAGCACCCAAGGTCCAAGGGGTAGATTGGGTTACTGGATTTCCTAACAGGACTCTATATCCACAGGCTTTGCCATATAATTTTGTAGCCTGTCCCACTGTGGGTAGACTTTTCTTTATTTCTTGTGCTGTGGATGCTGGGCTTGCCTATGTGACCACCTTGGGCCAATGGAATGTTAATGGAAGGATGTGATATAAGCAGAGGCTTTAACGTACTGTTCAATTTGTCTTAGGCTTTCATGCCCCAGGGATCATCACAAGAAGAATACGCCCCAGGTAGTTGCTGCCCTTTTCGTCTGGACCTGACAATGAAAGTAGAACAGACCTGAGCCCAGCTTGTGGCCTGGAGCAGAGCCCACTAGTTAAGATCCACCCATGTCGGTGAGTTGCCTGTGAGCATCTGCGGGCATAAGCCATTGCGTTGGGGGAGGTTTGTTACAAAGCACTGTTACAGCAATAGTTGACTAATACAGTGGCAGAACTGGGATATGAAACCAACTGTGTTAGAAGCCAAAGACCTTCCTGTTTTCTCTATGGCCTGGGTTGAGATAATATAACAAAAACATCAGGCACCAGATTTTAAAAATCAGAACAATGCTAGTTGCTACTAATTTTATTCAATGTTGCATTTTAAAAATTATATTGGTGACACCAACTCATTTCAGGGTTACTGGGGACATGTAGGAGTTACAGTGCCCAGGTTTCTGAGAAAGACATTCACTAGACAAAGTGAATCTCTTCAGTAATAAGCAGCCCTCATAGATGCCTGACATTTTAAAGCTCATAAAATATTTTCCCACCCATGATTTTCATTAAACCACCCAAAGACTAGTGAGGCAGAAAAGTCCCATGCCCATTTCACAAGCCCTGAGAAGCTAAGTGACTTATAGGCTAAAGTCATATAGCCGAGGAGTGGACAGGCAGGATTTGAATACAGTCTGTTTGCTCCAATCCAAATCTTCTACTAACTCCAGATAAGAGTCACCATTCACCCCTGCATTAGTCCCCAGGAGCGTGGGGGTATCTGGCAGACAAAGAATGCTCAGGAAATGCAAGTGGAAGTCAAAAAGGGATGGAAGGGGGGGCAGGGGGTGACAGAAGCTTGTTTGGACAGGGCCTGCACAACTTTGCTCCAGAAATTAAGATGCTAATGAGGGGTGGCTCCCAGGCTTCTCTACCTGCTTATCTCCTCAACACTCAGACGCCTCAGCCACACCCTGGCAGAGAAGACACTGGAAGTGCAGGCTCCACGATAAGGCACCCAGCCCTGTTCCCAAAAGTAATAGCTGGCAAGCCGGGCCAGCCAGCCTTTAGCCTGCCTGTGAGCAGCCAGCACCTCGACAGGGAGACCTATTTGCCCCCCAAAACCCCACAGATGAACAATGGCCTTTCCTCTCCACTCTCCGGGATACCACCTCTCTGGCCTTCTCTCGTCCCTCAGTGCACCCTGAAAACAGACTGCAGACTCTCAAAGGCTCCATTCCCATGCTGGGTCACTGGGACATGGTCTTCTACACTCATTAATTGTACATTTTAGTCACTCCGAGTTGATCAAAATTAAACTGCTGATATGAATGGGGTTTCTTTTTCCTGACGTTAAAGTAAGTTATGGTAATGATGGCACATTAGAGACTTACTGTGCACTTGAAGGCCTTCGTATGGTACTTCTAATACACGAGGTCCCATCCTAAGCGCTTTACAGGTATCTATTCATTTAATCCTCATGACAACCCTATGAGGTAGGTACTTATACCATCCCCATTTTACAGATGAGGAAACTGCGCCCAGGAGATTAAGGAACTTGCTCCAGGTCACAAAACCAGACGGTATGTGGCAGAGCCAGGATTTGAATGCAGGCAGTCTGCCTGGAGTCCATGTTAATCTCCTCCCTCTTTTGCTTTTCTAAGCGCTTTCTGCAAACCATCTCCACCTGGGCTGTGACAAGGTCAGAGTAGGTCGGGGGCACACTGTGCTTTAGGTGCTCGGCACAGCTTGGAGTGGCTCTATTCACTGCCTGCACCCAGCTAGATGGATCCCCCCAAAGGCACCATGTCTCTCTGAATTAACACCGGGCCGCCCACAGTGCCTGGCTGCCTCAGTACTCTTTGAATCCTGAAGCCCTGAACGTTGAGTGAGGGGAGCCCCCATCGTCCCAACCTTGCACTCCAGGAAGAGAGGCCCAGAGAGAATGACTGGATAGAGGACACACAGCTGGAAGTGACAGGCAGTGCGAGTGCAGTCTCCCTGCCTCCAGACCCCACGCGAACACATCATTGATTCTTTGCAGTAACTGCACTGTGGTTTTAGTAAAGTTACCATAACTTGGTTAGATGGATTGGCATCAGTTAAACGAGTCTTGACAACTTCTCACTATTACAAGTAGCTGCAATGAGGTCTTTATACTTGTTTGCCCCCTCTACACCCCTTTCCGCAGCCCACGACCCTAGACAGAGATTGCTGAGCCCGCATGTTTTAAGTTTGGACGCTACTAGGTTTCCTTCTAAACACGCAGTACCAATTTACTACCCTCCCTCTCCCCAGGGTAGGACAGTACCTGTTTTCTGTGCTGTGTGTTCAACTTTCAAAGCTCAGGGACTGTTTTTAGGAGCTTCTGGGACAATTTCTAAAGGTGACTACACTGCACAGGGTTTCTCTGAACAGAACCTACCTTCTCCCTGGGCAAAAGTGGTCTGTCAAAAATGGCGCGAATTTAGAGACTTTTTTTTGGTAAGCCTTCTAAAGTTCATCCCTCTGGGAATGAGGCTCAGCTCCCAATGTCCAGTAAGTCCAGGTGAACGCGTGCAATCAGGTCTGAGCTACCCCAGGCTATGGATGCAGAGAAAAGTGGGGGTGGGGGTGATAAAGAGCACCCACAGGTGGGCTCCTCCGTCACTCACTAAACCAGCTGCCACCTCAGCTCTGAGTAGGTGTCTCTTTTCACGTTGTTTCCTAAAATAGGAGTCACAACCAGCTTGGGAAGCAGAACAGAGAAAGGGAATAGAGCAGAAGCATTGGTGACATTACTCAGTCCACTCCCCCTCCACCCCACCCCGTCATTTATCAGGTAAGGAATTGACAGCCATGGACGGTGAGTGACGAATCCAGAGTCACACAGGAAAGCAGAACCCTCAGTGGCAGAATCCAGTCAAAGCCAGGTGTCCTCACTTCTAGCTGAGTGCTCTGCATGTTACAGCAGGGCACATCCAGCACCCCGCAGTCCTCCGTGCCTTCCTCCATGCTCTGTTGCTCCAGAAAATGGGGGGATGTCATGTTCCCTGAGAAGGGACATCTGGACAAACGTCACCGTAGCAGATTTTTGTGCCTTTGTGCATCCCGTTCTTGCTTCCTTGGACTCTCTTCTCTGCCTAACTGCCTGAACTGCTCCCCACTTCAAGACCCAAAAAAGTGATCATGTTCTGTGAAAATATTCCCTAATTCCCCAGGGCATCTGGCTGTCCCCTGCTCTATGTTCCCAGGCCCTGACCTTGCCCCCAGCACTCAGAACACTTGAGGGGCACCTGGGTGGCTCTGTCGGTGAAGCGTCCGACCTCGGCTCAGGTCACAATTTCGCAGTTCATGAGTTCAAGCCCCACATTGGGCCACTGGGCTCTGTACTGACAGCTCAGAGCCTGGAGCCTGCTTTGGGTTCTGTCTTCCTCGCTCTCTGCCCTTCTCCTGCGCATGCTCTGTTTCTCTGAAAAATAAATAAACATTAAAAAAACCCCAAGAACACTTGATGGTGGTTGCTGGTTCCTTCTGTCCACAAGACTGAAAATTCCTCAAATGCACAGATGTATCAAGTTCTCTGCAAACCCAGCACCCAGCTGAAGCTCTGAGGGGACGGACACTGGACCATGAACTCCAGTGGGAGGGAGTTTAGCCTGTCCCATCAGCTCCTGGCTCCTACTACGAACTCAGAAAGTGTGGTGCTGCCGACAGAATCTGCACAGAGAAGTGGAGCAGTCTGAGGAGCTTTTAATCCTCCAGCCATGGAACTTTCTGGAGCTTTCAACAGACACTACCTGGCGGAGCCAAGCAGGTGAGGCTGACAAATGAGTAGGCACCAATGGGTACAGAAGGTCCTCACATGTGTCTAGGCCTCCAGGGCACAGGGCACTTTCACACCCGACCTCATCGGAGTGAGCTTTGTAACCGTTCATCAGTGTTACTTCCAAAAGGCTCAACTCTTCTCCTTCTGCCAGGAAAACACCCAAATCTGGCTGATTCAGATCTCAGGACTCTCAGACACAGATATGACACAGAGGGAAGGAGTAAACCAAGCTAGGAAATATATGACTGGAAAACAAACCCCCCCCCCCAAAAAAAAAAAAAAGAAATATGTGACTGAACAGATACTTAGTTTATAGGATTTAGGAGAAAAAAAAAAGTAACCGCAGTCATGACACACCCTCGTATAATGAGTAGCTCAAGTAAGAGCTATACCGTCTTCATCAAGTCGGCCGAGCTTTCCTGGTTTGGGGCTTTCTTAAGGGTTTTAGAAAGGAACGCACGAAACATGGAATGTGGGGTTTCATTATCTCCAGTTTACTTAATTTGCTTGTTTACACACACGATCTGTGTGTGCGTAGCAGTGGCAGGAGCCAAACTCTAAATACAATCTGGTACTCAGACTATGACAGCTGCACGGGGAAAATGAGGCGTCAGTGAACCCACCTCAGCGCCCAGGCGCCAAACAAGTGTGGCGGTAACAGATGCCCTTCAGAGCCTCCTGCTCAGCACCTGGGGACAACAGACACTTTTCAAAAGATGACACAAGACTATTTCAACAGGAGACCCAGACCCCAAATGGTGCTCAAAAGTAGATGTTAGTTCCCCTGCCTCCTCTAAGGAGCCAAGAAGTTCTAAAGGCTTTAGGTAAAGGAAAAAGGAGACAGAGGATTACCCTCTGCTAAGCGCATGTGCTGGGCATTTTACATACATCATTTCCCTTAATCCTAACAGTACCGTCTGCATTGTCCAGATGGGGACACGAAGCCTGCCCATGGTCAGACAACTCTCAGCGGTGGTGCCAATATCCGAACCCACATCTCACATTTTCCTAAGCCCAGACTCTCAGCTACAGCCCGCTGTCTCACACAGGGGTAGGGAGCACGTCCCCAAGGAAAAGGTGAGGACCTAACACTGAACAAGAAGTGGTGGAAGACCACTCAATACACAAGGGTCCATAACTGACACTTTCCACAGAGTTCATTTAATGCTGAGCCTGAATCAGATCTGCAAGGGGAAATGTCACACTTAAATACTTAAGTGTGACAAATGGACACACGGAGTCACCTTGTGCCTGTTGCCTTTTGGTGCTGAACATGAAACTCAGGAGAGACTTCAACCCCTTCGACAAGCCCCCCACCCCCCGGCCCCCCGGTTTACAGACATAAACTCCAAAGGGGGATACAATTCTCACGGGGCCGTCATATCTTGTCAAGGTTCTCAACGTCCCGGAGCACCACGGTGACACTGCTGAAATCTCAGAGCCAGCATTTCAGCCACCTTTCCGTACAGCACATCACACCTCACATTTTGATCGATACAAATTAACATGCAGCCTGATGGGATACCAAATATATATGTGAAATACATCTTTATATGAAATACAATTTACCCTGAAGAATTTCCAGGCCTCAAGCTCCTAACAATGTAAGCTTGAGTTAAGGCAGTCAAGTGTAGTGCTTGTCTGGCTTAATTTGGGGGAGAGGAGGAGCATCAAGTAAGCTGCCAGGATGATCATCCAAAATGCGAGGGGCTGGGTACAAAAGGCCTAAAGAGACGGTAAAGAGACAGCCTGCAACCTGTGGAGGTGGCGGGAGAGGGGAGTGTCCTAGCACAGACCTGCAACCGTACCTTTGTGGGTGGAGGTGACAGGCTGCAGAAGGACAAGGCCGAACACTGAGAAGTATGCAAAGGGGAAAGGAAAGACCGAGTTCAAGGCCAGCTGAGTGGGCCCAGCTTGGGTCTCGCGTTGTCAGTGGTGGAACAAGTAGGAAGGCGGGCCAAAGTCGTGTCGACATTTAAGAGGGACATTTTTGCCAACAGTTGGCTTCCTGTCATCAGAGGCAATGGGACACATTCTCCTTCGCCTCCGATTTACCATAATCTTGTCGAAAATGTAAAAATTCCTTGGGCCCCAGCAGACTGGTCAATGTACTTATCAGCCGAGTCTGAAGGACACCGTTGAGTTTACACCACTAATGTGTGGTCAGGGAAGTTTTAGTGCAAGTACCCATTTTGCAAAGTTACTCTGACTCAGCTTAGATTTCATCAAGCTATTATTACAATGTCTGCTTTCAGGTTTTATTCTTAATAGAGAAAACAGCCCCAGGAAGCAAGGGGGAATTCAATACCATAAGCCAGGAGTTTGGTTTATAAGAAGTAAATTAGTGTTCTAAGAAACCCCTCAAAGCTATCTACACACGTGCCAAAGTGCAGCATCGAGGTTGTGGGTTATCGTCAGGAGTGTGCCAACAAAGAACAAATCCCACGGATGTTATTGGAAACAACAAAGCATTCGCTCAAAATAGTAGGGAAAAAAGTAACCTTATTGCTCCAAAAACCAATACATACTGGGCAACACAGACAGAAAATTGGCAAAAATCATCCAATACTCAGCCACAGAGGCAGGCACTCTAGTTGAACTGTTTTGGTAGCTAATCACAAGCCAGTTGTGATATAGAACATTTTGAGGATAAACAAATACCACAAGCAGAGAGTATCTTTCAGGCAGGTGGTTGTTTTATAAAGAACCCTGCTGGAAATAAATGCTTACGCAAAGCTGACCAGAGGGCAATATTATTAAATAACAGCATTAAATCAGCCAGTAAAACACAAGACCAGAATCAGGGAGAGAATGAATCAGGTAGCAGAGAAGGGTGCTGAGGCTCCGGCCTCCCCTTCAGCCACACAACGGAGGCCTTCCGGATTCCTCCCTCTCTCTGAGCCTTAGCTCTGCCCTTTAGAGACAAAAGGGACATTCCAGATTAAGGTCAAGTCTTGCCAGGGACAAAAAGTGACTGACTGGGAAGGGTGGAGTTTGTGACACAAGATGACATCGCCAAGAAGTGTGGGGATTCAAGTCCCTCCCCAGACTCCACCACCACTCACCAAAACCGCCTGGTGAGCTTCCTCGCTGAAGAAGGACGGATGATTTAGTCAAGTAGCCGAGAAAAACAATGAAAAATACATTACCCGTCGCCCCGCTATCTATCACCCCTTTTGTTTCTCTCTTATTGCTTGTAACTGTCTCGCTTCAAATTCAAACTGGAGCTCCGGGGAGGAAGTCCTGGGGAAAAGGATTTCAGATACCAAAACCCATAGGTCCCGTACCAGCCCAGCAAACCGAACAGGGTGCCAAACAGCTTCTGGGACAAGTCGTGGAAGTAAACGGCCGTGCACAGAAACATCCACACCCAGATGAAGGTCAGGAAGCCGAGGCCCACCACCAGGGCGGTGATGGCGGTGTGGAGGCAGTGGCTTCGGTCCGTCTTCACCTCGTGCAGCACAGCCATCTCCTCCACAATCATGAGGGCGCAGAAGGTCAGCAGGAAGGAGTGGCCGGAGATGTCGAAGCCGTGCCAGAAGCCTCCTTCCCTGTGGCACTGCTTCTTACTCTGGTGCTCCTTTCTGACCCCCTCCAGGGTTGGCGACTGGTAGCAGCTGCCCGTGTAGTGCTCGATGTTGGAGAAGAGAGCTGTGCAGACGTACCAGATGGCCGTGCCCACAAGCAGGGTGCTCAGCCGCCGCAGGACCAGGCCAGCCTTGCCTGTCAGGTGGTAGTTGGTGAGGGCAATGAAAGGCAGGAGGAGACAGAAGGTCCAGGCCCAGGCCAGTTTGACAAAATACCTGGCAGAGGAGGAAAGTGGACGTGAAGAGCAGGGACACGGTGGGGAGGAAACAACGTCATGACTCAGGTCTCTAGACTCTCAAGGGATGGCAAATAAGAATAGTTGATAAAAGGTACAGATAGCTACCTTGCGGACTAAGTTCTTTAAATGTAATCCTTACCCAACTCTACGAGGCAGGTACTGTTATTATCCCATTTCACAGATAAGAAAACGGAGGTACACAAGTATTACGCCCCGAGCAGAGGTCATAAGTGGTGCAGCTGGGATTCAAATCCAGGGCCTGTGATCTTAGTCTGTGATCCAGGCTCTGGGAAAGTGAACACAAAGAACACTCCCAATTACCCCGGGAAGAAGGTCTCACTTGCCCCATTTTATGAAGAATGTGAGGCTCAGAACAGTTCAATAACTTGCTAGGGTCCCAATCAAACCTCCAGCAAGCCCAGAGTAAACCAACGTCTGGCCAGCCCCAAAGCCCGTGGTTTTTTTTCCTACATGGCAGAAATGATCTCAGAACAGAGCTTGAGTTCAAGTTAGAAGATCAGGTTCAAATCCTGACTTTGACTCAACTTGTTACTACACTTCTCCAGGCCTCAGTTTCCTCAGCTATAAAACTAGAGCTGAGGAGGCCAAGCAATTTTTGAAATCCCTCCCAGAGCCAATGATTCACTAGTTCCCTCCAATTAGCACAGAGGCTTGGAACCAAACGACAGAATCTATGGTTACCCACACACAACAGGGACTTGTCTGCCAGGCCGCTTGGCTCCCAGCTCACCCAGGCCAGATAAAGTGGCAGCTGCCTGCCTCCCCTTGCTCATCAAAGGTGGCTGACCTGGGGACCGGCCACGGGAAACACACATGCAAGAGACCTGGGGCTACTACCACACTCATCATCCATCTATTCTTAGCCGGGCCTCCACCGATAGGCGAGGAAGGAGGGGGGCCAAGGACAAGATGACTTTTTCCTGGGTTCCAAAGGCTTCTCACACACCACGGAGAGCCTGTCACTCACGTCTTCCCTGGGACTGATATGCAAGGATCTTGCCAGAGCCAGAGCCTGTCAGGCATTTGACAAAACTGCTGGGGAGAGAAACCAGAGTTTTAAGTAGATAAGGAAAGTTAGGCTGACTTTTGGGAGATGCTGCTGACACTGTAATTCTAAAGAAGAATTGAAGTCCACTTCAAGGGCGAAGTTTTATCTTTCAGAGTTGCCCTTTACGACTGCAACAGTGTCTTTGTGCAATAAACTCAAAATCCAGTAGTTAAAAAAAAACCCAAAGGCGTGAGCGGGTGGAGTTAAGGAGATGTCTCAAAGAGCCCCGCTGGGCTTACTTTCCTGGGCCACCGCCATGAGCCCTGGTGGCTGAGAAGGTCCCAGGAGATCCAGGGGAAAGGTCGGAGGCTGGAGGCTTCCACTCCTCGGGGACTATCTTGGGAGCGGGAGTTCGGTCATAGGCCGGGACAAGGTTCGCAAAGGTTGGAGGATCAGGGGGACAAGGCAGATCTTTCACAGGTGGTGATGGAATTCTGTCAAGCTGGGACAGGGGAGCGGGGGGGGGGGGTCGGACTTAGCGTGGGGTCTGATACGAGCAGGCAGGAGGGAGGTGGCATCTCCCACGCAGGTCCAGGGCCGACTCCTAACTCTACGGGGAGGTGGGGGCGCAGCGACAGTGGCGAATTCAACGCTCCATCCCACCCCACACCCCGACAGACGCACACAGACACGCACACAGGCCTGCCAGTCACTCCCTGCCCAGTCAACTCAGGCTGGCTCGTCTGGGCGTGCAAACACCAACTGCTAGTGACTCTAGCTATTCGGGGACCTCTCGGTCGGCGACACGCGTGCAGATGCACCTGTCACGATGGGGAAGGCCTCCCCTTCCGATGACTGTCCATCAGGGCAGCTAAGCCCCGGCTCTCTGGACGAAGCGACGGCGGGTCGGCTATGGCGGGGACAGGGGAGGACCCGGGACGCACTCACACGTTGAGGACGTTGCGCTTGTTGCTGAGGTAGCTCTCGGGCAGCGGGGAGAGCTCCTTGAGGAGGGAGCCCGCCAGCATGGAGGCCGCCAGCGCCCAGGGCAGGTAGCGCCGCACCGCCGCTCGCACCAGCGTCCCGCGGAGGAACCTCGCGCAGCACTCCAGATGCTCCATGCCGGACCTCGTCGGCCACCGTCCGCCTCCCGCTGTCCTCCCCCCTACGGTCTTGCCCTGCTCTCGGGAAGGCGCTGTGCCTCCTCTTGTGCGCACGCGCGCCGCCCGCGAGCCCCACCCCTCGCGGAGCGCTCGCGCTCCCCCTCCTGGCCACTGGCGGCCTTTGCAGCGCGTCGGCTGCGGGACGCCGCGGTCCTCCTCTCACTTCTCCCAGTCCCGCCGCCAGGTGGCAGCCTCGGAATCTTCTCCGGGTCTGGGAAAAAGGGCCCCGGGAGTATTTGCTGGATATGGGGAAGAATGAACGTCATTAGTACTGTAGGGATTTCAACAGTGGTCACAGCATCATTTAGTCTCTTTTGGAAGCTTGGCGACACCGTCCATCTGCGCCTTAGTTTTTTCATCCGTAAATGGGGAGCCAAGAGGAACTCAATCCTTCCCAAGAGTTAAGTTGATGAACCCGAGGTCATTATGATGATCCAGGTATAGGGACATGAGATTTAATTTTATTTTAAAAATGCGGGAAATAATTATTCAATTAAAATGTTAAGTTCCTGGATTTTTACAGCCTTAAAAAAAACTACTGTATTGGGTGAAAATGCTGGACTCTGGGCGTTAAGATCAGATGAGAGGGTTGGTGACTCAGTTGCTTAGTTTATCACAGCTAAACGTCTCACCCCCAGCATAGCTGGGTGCCTAATTCAATGTTTCTCAAACTTGAGGCTTTTTTTTTTTGCCATTGTATCAGTTTCCTTAGACTGCTGTAACAAATTACTACAAACAGCTTAGAGCAACAGAAATTTATTTTCTCACAGTTCTGGATGCCAGAAGTGCCAAGCTGTTGGCAAGGTTGGTTTCTTCTGGAGACTCTGAGGGAGATTCCTGTCCATGCTTCTCTCCCAGCTTCCGGTGACTGCCTGCAATCCTGGGCATTTCTTGGCTCTTAGCTGTATAACTCTGGTCTCTGCCTCCATCAGCACACAGCCTTCTCCCCTCTGACTTCTGTCTCTTATCAGGACAATAGTCCTTGGATTTAGGGTGAACCCTAAATCCAAGATAATCTCACCTTGAGACCTTTAATTATATCTGCAAAGTCTCTATTTCCAAATAAGTTCACATTCCCAGGTACCAGAGGTTAAGTCACATCTTTTTGAGACTCACAACTCAGGCCATTACAGCTACCTTAACTGCTTTTGCTATGTCCATATACCACCAATACTATTATTTACTTAAAGCTTTTCTTTGAACAACACACGTTTCAAACTTAAATACCTACCAAATAGCTTCCCAAGCAAAAATATCCTTGAAGTTATGGATTCTGTGTGCCAATTGTATTTATTGTATTACAAATAAAACCTTTATATTAAAATATTCATCATCACTAGCTGTCTAAAATATTCTCATGACCCTAAATTCAAGGATATCTACCAAAGTTGGGAGACACTGGCCTTATTTATGCCTATAATGGACTGATGTTTAAAATCTCTCATGCAGAAGAGCTCCTGGGTGGCTCAGTTGGCTAAGTGTCTGATTCTTGGCTTCGGCTGAGGTCATAACTCACAGTCTTGAGATTGGGTCCCATGTCAGGCTCTGTGCCAACCATGTGGAGCCTGCTTGGGACTCTCTCTCCCTCTGTTTTTATGTCTCTCTGTCTCTGTCTCTCTCAAAAAATAAAAACAAAATTTTAAAAGTCTCGCATGCGGGGAATTAATAAACTAATGAGAACAGCAGCATTAATTCCTTAGAACCATCTCAAGATGATCTTCATGTCTGTAAGTTACATTTATCTCATCGAGGTCCTTTTGTAACAAGATGTCTCTGGGCCTTCAAAAAGTTACATTCGTAAAAAGAAGATATACTGGTGATCACACTAGTTTGGTTTTTCATGATTGGGAATGAAAGGTACACAGCCAGAAAGATGCTGCTTGTGAAGGCAGCTTGTAAATAGTATCTGAAACCTCCTCTATCTCCTCAAGGTTAGCACATGCTCAATTATTGTTACTTTCCACTGCAAACTGCATACTGGGCAAGAACACGGAGGTAATTGGATATTATTAAAGCAGTTCCATTAGTGAAAATCCAGATGCGGACCCTCCACCCCAGGAAAAGAAGAGAGAGTCCTGGGTGAACAGACGTTAGACATCACCCAAGTGACCTTTCAAAAATACACCTCCTGAGACTTTCAGCATTTGTAGTTCTGTAGAAAGGATACGGATTTGTTCCTTTTAAGACAATGTAGCTTCAAGCCTGGAGAATTTTGAAGACTAGGCTAAACCCAGACCTGAACATTGTAAGTCTCTACAGCAGTTTTCTTCCTTCCTTCCTTCCTCCCTTCCTCTCTCTCTCTTCCTCCCTTCCTTCCTTCCTTCCTTCCTTCCTTCCTTCCTTCCTTCCTTCCTTCCTTCCTTTCTTTCTTTCTTTCTTTCTTCTTAACCCATATTAGGAAATATATGTTTATGTTGTGAGCTCAGTGGTGTCCTGGAGCCAACTCATACAGGCCTATGACAGCAGATTGTTACAGCAAGATGATTGTTAAACATACTTATTATTTAAAATTACATTATGTTGGGGCGCCTGGGTGGCTTAGTCGGTTAAGCGTCCGACTTTCGCTCAGGTCTTGATCTCGCGGTTGGTGGGTTCGAGTCCCGCGTTGGGCTCTGTGCTGACTGCCGGCTCAGAGCCTGGAGCCTGTTTCAGTCTGTGACTCCCTCTCTCTGGCCCTCCCCTGCTCGCGCTGTCGCTCTCTCTCTCTCTCCTAGAAATAAATAAAACATTAAAAAAAATAAAATTACATTATGTTTAGGGCGCCTGGATGACTCCATTGGTTAAGCGACGGACTTTGGCTCAGGGCATGATCTCATGGTTTGTGGGTTTGAACCCCGCGTCGGGCTCTGTGCTGACAGCTCAGAACCTGGAATCTGCTTCGGATTCTGTGCCTCCTTTTCTCTCTGCCTTTCCTGCTTGCGCTCTTGATTCTCTCTCTCTCCTAAAAATAAACATTAAAAATTTTTTTAAAAAGGAAAGATAAATAAAATAAAATTACATTATGTAAACTAACAATGCAACTCAACGTTAATATTCAAAACTCGTTATTTCCTAATTACCTACCTTAATTACCTGTCCTTATTACCTGTGCTCTTGGGGTTACTTACATCGGTTGTGTCTGTACAGCTTATAGTTTTCCCAACTACATGTTTAATGGCATCACACTGGTGGCTCGAAACCATCCGTACTGGGAGCCTTTTCACCAATAACTACACACCGGGGCTTTATTTGGCTTGTTGATTGTCTAGATTGAGATATGGCTCCATTTGCTAAGTATGGTTGAATTGAAACTATAAATTGTCTACAGATACAGGAGTCCAGCAAAAAGCAGTCAAAGTGTTGTGTGAGAATTAATCTACTATATGAAATTTACAGTGAAGAATATTTGTATATTTTATTATTTGTAAATTATATGCTACACGTTCTTTATATTAAGACAGCTTTATGAAAAACCTATGTATATACATACGTTTACATTTTCTTAGAGAGCTAGTTGTTAAATATTTATCCACAAATCACTGGCTGTAATCCAGTAAACACATAAAATAGCTATGTAACATATGAATGAAAATACATGCTAATAGATAAATAGACATAGCTATAAATATAGCTTTATGACAGTTCATGATGGAATTTGCCTCTGCTAGGTGCGGGGCGCTCTCCTATTTTCTGCTTAGTCACAAATTCAAGTTTTAGAAAGGCTCGTCATGCCCCCTTAATTATTTTACAACTCAAATAGGTGGGGATTTGTAGTTTGAAAAACAGAGATTTTAAGGCCCCGGAGGACAATGCCCTGCCCTTCCCCACCAGAGGGTGTCAGAAGACCACAGTTTCCAGGGTTCTGCCCCACCTGCTTCCACGGTACCGCGTATTTGCTGGCTTTTCTTCCTTCCTTATCTAGTCAGCAAGTACCTGTTACAAGCAAATGGCCTCTGACCTAAAGGAACTTAAAACCTAGTGAAGATGATAATCATTCATTTACTCAGCCAAGCAACATTTATTAACTTACCAATGAACCAAGCGTTGGGTTAGATGTTAGGACTGCCAATGTGTTGAAAAGGTGAGTTTCCTTAATAACCAAAGATTTATCGCCCTTTAAAAACACAATTTTTCTAGTTGGAGGCAGAATCACTAACTCTGTGGAATGATTGCATGGAAATCATCTGACGTTACCATTATGCTTTAGCCAGGCTGGACAGGCATATACTTATATGCAGTTTATAAACTACATATATATAGTAGTTTATATATATATATATAAAAAAAAAAAAAATATATATATATATAAAAAAATATATATATATATAAAAATATATATGTGTATATATATAGAAATATATGTATATATATATATACACACATATATATGTAGAGAGAGAGAAAGGTATGATGAGCCTTTCTAAAACTTGAATTTGTGACTAAGCAGAAAATAGGAGAGCGCCCCGCACCTAGCAGAGGCAAATTCCGTCATGAACTGTCATAAAGCTATATTTATAGCTATGTCTATTTATCTATTAGCATGTATTTTCATTCATATGTTACATAGCTATTTTATGTGTTTACTGGATTACGGCCAGTGATTTGTGGATATATATATATATATATATAAACTAAAGATTAAATAAAAGGAAATATATGGGGCGCCTGGGTGGCTCAGTCAGTTAAGCATCCAACTTCAGCCCAGGTCATGATCTCGCAGTTTGTAGGTTCAAGCCCCACTTTGGGCTCTGTGCTGACAGCTCAGAGCATGGAGCCTGCTTCGGATTCTCTCTCTCTGTCTCTCTCTCTGCTCCTCCGCCGCTCACACTCTGTCTCTCTCAAAAATAAACATTTAAAAAATCATTTTAAAAAGAAAATATAAGTTTGTGCTGCCTTTTCATAAAGAATTTTTCTTCTTTATAACATTATAAATGTATAAATTATACATTTATAACTGTAGTGCCACTGATTTATAAGGAGATTACATTCTGCCAGGGTAGAATAAAAAAAAAA